CATCTTCTTGGTCCGTATTTAAACCCCCCCTGGTACCAACCTTCGCCCAATTACCACTCATTACCCAAAACTGGCCTGACATGTTACCTGGTGTTTTGTATTTAGCCATTTGTCGAATCCTCTCCATTTACCATAGGTGTCCACGATAGCCTCAGATGAGTGATTAGTTTGACCAGCCATTTAGTCTGGAGCGCTTTAAGCTGGATATCCGGGTCTAGCACCCCCAATCCCCCCTGCCGTTTGGGCCTAGTTACATATTTCCATGCTACTTTAGAGATAAAACGCTCTTCTCCTTCTTCTTCTTCTTCTTCTTCTTCTTCTTCTTCTTCTTCTTCTTCTTCTTCTTCTTCTTCTTCTTCTCCTCCTTCTTCCGTGAAAAACCTCGGATTCAATTACACGCATATACCAGACTGTCCAAAGACCAAATGAATAAGCTTCTTCTTTCGTTTGGATGGCTCAACAGTCGGGCAATGGATGGCTTCAAGCACTGCGACCGTGAACAAAAACGTACTATGGTCACAAATTTAACTGTACATCCATTGCTGAGCCAATGTCGACAGTGCTTCAGTTGTCCCGTTCATGCACATTGGCTACTACAGATGCCCCATAGATTCTTTTTATGACCTTCCATGAATCCATCAACAGGCCACTGTCGTTCGTAACAATGGACAGAGATGATACATTATCACTAAATGCCTGATCAAGAATCCTTAATAAGGAGATGGAAGAGATACCGATAGATGAGACAAAACGAGGTAGCCTCCTATTCACCAGATTTAAACCATCGGTCAGAGTACTGGAAATCAGTGGGTAAGCTTTTTCTCCCATGGCCTTTCTCCTTCTTTCCCTCTTGCCCGGTCTCGATCTCTTGTTCTTCACCTTCTTTCGCCCGTTCAGTCTCGAATTCAGATACGGGTTAGACCACTTTACGAGCATTCGCTCAGCTGTCAATAGATCAGATGCTTCAGTTACGACAATTGGTATAGCAATATAGTGAAAGGCTCCTGTCCTCCGTAGCCATCTGTAAAGTTTGTGACTTCGAGCTCCCTCGGACCTATCATTGAGAGACATACAGCCAACATGCTCGGCCCATCTAATATCCAACGATCTATTAGTGCAACCTACATAACAGTGCTTAACCTGTGGAGAAACCAGGCAATAGACAATTGGACCGGAGGAGGAGTGAAAGTCATATCCTGAACTACAGAGCCGAGGAGACCGTCTGAAAACTTAAGACACCATGGTAGCTGCTGAAGTAAGATAAGGAAATTTAGGAAAATGAAAAGCATACGAAACAGGTAATTGAGCTCTTGATCAAGCAAACCTGATTTTTGTCGACGTAGCAAAAGACACACTTGCAGAATATCCCATGCAGCTTGCACGCTCGGGCCGTGTGCGAGGATCTGGGTCCTCGGCAGGCCTACGGGGCCCCTGCTGCAAATGTGCCCGCCCTAAGTGAAGGCGGGCCTAACAAATCCCGAGAGGCCCTAAGCGGTCGAATTAGCATTTGGGGTTCAGACAGTTTCGTCGCGCCAGTTGGTTGAGGAAACCACAGGCCGAGAAGCAAGGAAATTCCACGGCCTTCCAGGCTCTTCCAAAAGCACAGGCCCTGGACGAGATTCGCAGCCTCATACACAGACAACTGGGAGGCCCAGTAGCTGCACCAGAGGCGCAGCATCCTGGGGCCTACTGGAAGCTTTTGGGCCCAGGCCCAGGCCAGCCAGGCTGCGAAGGCAGGCCAGCTCTTTCCATATAGGAACAAGCTCGCTGCCTGGCAAAGCAATCGGGCACTCGCATGCTGGCGGCAGCGCTGCTGCAGCTGAAGCTCGTGGGCTGCTGCTAGCGGTGAGAGGCGAGGTGCTAGCACGTGCGGTCGTGCAGGGAGCAGGGCGCTGCTGAGGGTAGCGCCATAGCCCAGCCTCCATAGCTGGCGGGCTTGGATGTGCAGTGAGGCGCAGGGGTGGTCTTCGGGTGTTCAACAAGGGAAGACGTGGGAGAAAGTCAGGGGACAGAGAGAAGGATGATGATGATGATGATGTGAGGGCACATACCTGGTATTGGCGATGGTTCTGCATGGGCGACATCTTCAAGTACTTTGGAGGCTGCTGACATCATCAGTTGCATTGTCAATTAGTAGGCTAGTAGTAGCTGTGTAGGGAGTAGGCTGGGCGCCGAGCGCCGAGTAGTGAGATAGGGACTGGATATATATGTTGGTGGTGGCGAGAGCAAGCTCTTATTGACATTGGCTTTCAGTGCTACTATTCTCCATTGGTGTCACGTTGGTGCAATGCTACTTTCTGAACACTGTGATACGATCTGGCTTTCAATGTGATTGTGCAATCTGAATATTGTCATCTCGCTTTTGTTCATTTTCCTTACAATTTCGTATCAGAGCTGGTTCAAACTGCGCTCATTGGTTCTTCGCATTAGCTGTTCGGTGCTTCGCATGAGGTGTGGGGCAGTGATAAGGCTTGGGCGATTGGACGTAAGGCGGCCCACAGTCGTGTGGGCGCGTCAGGAAGCTATGTGGTGACATTAGGGGTGTACGCTGGATGATGAGAGCTCGCTGATGTGGCATTTAAGCCGAGGTGGAACTGCATTCTGCTGTTGGTTGTGCCGAGGCAAAGACCGGTCATCATAAATGCACATCAGGTTGCTGGTGAGAAATTTGTGGTTTGGGGCAGCATTATGAGGTACGTTGCTTCCTTCCTTATCTACCCTCTTCATTGCTTCTTACCGTGAGGAGGTGAGTTCTATCCTGAGAGTCCTCTCAATATGAGGTGTCGCGAGCGCTCAACCTTGAGAGTCGACATTCTTCCTGGGCAGCAAGCTGGTGGGAGACGGGCGATGCCTGTGAAGGGCCTTGGACGAAGCACTCGGGTCACGGTCACCATGCCAACCCGCTGGGACTAGTACACGCATGCTTTGCCGCAAGTCCTTGGTTCAGCTGCTGTGCACTAGAGGTCATGCAGGGCATGCCAGCCCTTTGAATAGACGCTTACCAGACCTTCTTTAAATATTTCTGGCGGGGACTCGGTGTTGATTTTGGCTATGATCGCCGTCCTGTTTGCGACGTTATAAATTCCTGAGGAGTTACGGGGGATCTCCTTAAATGCCTCCTGATCAGCCAGATCAAACCGGGTGTAAGGTTTGTTGCATGTGAGGATAAATAATGTGCAGCGGCTGGCAGGTTCGGCATTGACTTGGGCCACAGGGGTGGGCCGGATTGCACACCTTCAGACACGCTGCTCAACCAGATGCTCAGGGCGTTGACACAGTGACAACTTAAGAAGGATACAGGGAGGATTCCGACAACTGTTCGCCGTGGCATTAATTAGATAAATTGCCATTCAGCATACATCTCTGCAGGGAGTATTATTGTTTTTATTTTTGATTGTTTAGTTGTTACGGACTTGTCTAACAACTGACAGATAGCTGCAGATAGAGTAGTATACTCTTTGCTGCATTGCAATCTGTACTAGAGTAATCTAAAAATAGATTTAATATTCCCTGTAGGATCTAACACTGGGTGAAACCTAACCACCTAACTGTTTCTGTCCAGGCCGACCAAAGTTAGTTGTGTATCATAATCGGTTGTGTGTCATGCTGAGGTAGGATTCAGTGTAGATTCTAGTTTAGATCACACACACTGTAGCTCATGAGTGATGCAAGCACTAGTGAGGAGGAGTTGTTAGTGGACGACCGTAGGACCACTCGTAGAACTGCTCTCAATCGACCTTTGACTTTCCTAGAGTTAGGTCCAGGAGACGAGAGGAGACTGCAGAGAGAGGCTAGAGAGAGAAAAACGGCAAGAAGAGCGAGGGTGGCTGAGGCCAGCGCGAGGTCTAGGATTACAGCTAGCACCGGTACAACCATGGCTACCTCCTCTACCATGTCTCAGGCCTCTTCACAGGCCACTTCGTCAGGAGTCAGTCAGAGTGGTTCTCAGGCTTCCATTAGCCGGAGTGTTGGCTTGCAAGTCAACCAGCAGGCTCAACTCACGCCAGAGGATTATGAAATCCTTTAAGCAGAAGAACTTCAGGATGAGCAACAGCGGCAATTGGACAAGGCAGCAGAGAGAAGAAGAAGAGCAATAATGAAAAAAGCTAGACTACGTAGTAGATTGCATAAACTAGGCAAGCTAGAAGCACTAGATGAGTTTGCACTTGATCCCGCTATGCGAGCACTGCGAAATTCGCTCTTGTGTGTGGTGTGGCGGAGACGCAGGTAGTTCAGTAGGAGGTGTTGGCTGAACTAGTGGCAGGCCAGAAACGAATTCTAACTGCACTACAGGCTCCTCGTCCAGTGATGAGGCAGCCTCAGTTTGCTGTAGCTCCACAATCGGTTGCAGGTTAATCGATGACGCCGTTGCCGATTGGGCCCTCATTCTCACCTATGCTTGGCATGCCTCCTCCAGGTGGTTATGTGGCGACTAGTGGTCCGGTCCTAAGAGTCTCTGCCATACCATCAACGATAGTGGTTACTACTGTCCCAATGTCAAGCCAGGCCCAGGTTAGTGTGCAGTAACCTATTTCAGTGGCTATGCAGCCACTGCAACAATCCCCTGGGCAATGCAGCCTATGCAGTGGATGCCCAAAATATCCTTGCTGAGTCCTAAGCCCTTCTCCGACGACAGGAAGAAGGATGAAGACTTGGATACCTGGGTAAGGACGGTGCCTACCTATGTGAGGCACAAGCTTACCAGGCCCGAACAAGAAGTTGTAGTGGCTGCCTCCTTTCTAGAGGGGTCAGCAGCCCGCTGGTTGAATGGCCTAGTGCAGCAACAGGGCTACGGTCATAACTTCGATGCTTGGGCCCATACCCAGACATTGGAAGAGTTTGTACGGTCCGTGTACAATAGGTGGCATGACCTGCAAGGGGCTCAAAAGGCCACAAACACGATCAACAGTCTTTGTGCCTGAAGGTACAAGAATGTTAGAGAGCCCACGGATACTGTGGAACGTCTGCTCGTGGTACCTGGTGTGCGCTATGACCAGCAGGTACTCGTTACGGATTACCTTAGATGTCTGCCTTTGGAGGTTAGGACAAAGCTGGCAGACGAGGCCTATGTCGAACAACACAACTTCGCTTCTTTCAACAAGAAAGCCTTAGACATAAAGGCAAAGTTGGGATCTGCGCATCGGAGTCAAGGAGATGGTAGGAAGAAGAGACTACCCCAGGATTGGAAGAAGAAAGGGCAATTAATGTTCGTCGGCCATGATGGTCAGGCGAAAGAAATTGACGACTTCCCAGACCTTTGGGAAGACACAGAGCACAATGGGGCCAGCGAGACTTCGGATGGGGGAGTCGTGGCACCCATCAAAGAAAAGGCTAGGGGGACCGGGAAGAAGAAGGCAGGCTGGTCTACGGGTCAGGGCGACCAAGGTACGCCCGCATGGGTGAAACTTGGTTTAGAGTATGAGGTGTGGAGGGACCGAGTTGCTAGGGGTACGTGCATGAATTGTGGCAACTATGGCCACACATCTAGAACATGCCGAGGTAAAAAGGTCCTAACGAGGGTAGCCTCTCCAATGGTGGTGGGACTATCATCGAACCGTGGTGGTGCTTCTGCGAGCACTTCGTAGGGAAACACCTCGGGCCAGTAGGAGTTTTAGCTGCTCTTACTCGCGCCGAAGTGGTAATGTTGCCTTCCCCACTTCAGGCGTTGGCCAAGGCTAGTGACCCACGTATCGCCCTGTAGACACATTCAGACCCACTGACACTCTGTTCGAGAGATGCGTTTGAGGCCTGAGAAGAGTTAGAGACTGAGGGAAGGACCCCAGAGACTCTTGGGCGATGATTAGTGGAGGTCCAAAGGGTGAACATTTCGTGGTAGAGGTTGATGTAGGTGGTCGTAAAGTTGGCGCCTTCGCAGATATAGGCTCTACACGAAACTTCATCAGTCGTGCTTGTGTGGATAGACTGCGCTTAGGGGACCAAGTGCAGCGGCTTAGCAAAACTGTAGCTTTTGCGCTGGCCAACAAGCACCAAATGGTAGTTAAAGATTATGTCAAAAACGTAGTATGTTCCTTCTCTTATGGAGGAGGGGAAATGAGACATAAAATCTCATTCCTCGTCAGCGACGAACTGCCCTTCGATATGCTACTAGGCATGTACTACCTCGAGGTCGCGCAACCTCAGTTTGATTGGGATAGGAAGGTGTTGATACGCAAGTTGCCAAATGGTAGGACCGTTAGACTGCAGAAGTATAAGGCTAGCAGTCTAGTGGAGAACTACGGTTGCATGTGTGCTTCCTCTTTCTATAACTACTACAAGCAGAATCGTGAGAAGGACATGTATCTAGTCTTTGTCTCTGAGAAAGGGGAGGCCGTTAAAACACCCCCAGAGATAGAATCAGTCGTCGCATAATATTCCGACCGTTTTGAGGAGCTCACAGGAGTGGTAGAAAGGGAGGTGGTCCATGCAATAGAGGTTGTCCCAGGTAGTAAGGTACCTAGAGGACGAATCTATAGGATGTCTCCCGCGGAGTTGGATGAGCTCCGCCACCAGCTCAAGGAGCTCACATAAAAGGGATGGATTCGGCCTAGTACCTCCCCTTACAGTGCGCCAGTCTTATTTGTCCCAAAGAACGGAGGTACCCTGAGGATACAATCAAATTGCCATTAGACCTAAGGACCAGCACAAAACCGCATTTCAGACCAGATACGGTTTGTACGAGTTCGTGGTGATGCCCTTTGGCCTATGCAATGCACCTAATACATTCCAGCACGCGATGAACATGATATTTCATGATTACTGAGACAAATTTATCGTCGTGTACCTCGACGATATTCTTATCTTTAGTAGGACTATAGAGGAGCACGCCGAGCACTTGAAAATAGTGCTAGGTCTCCTAAGACAGCACTAGTACAAGGTTAACTTGGAGAAATGCGAGTTCGGTCGCACCAAGATCTTGTACTTGGTTCATGAAATCTCAGCAGATGGATTGAGGCCGGATGATAAAGGTGGCCAGCATACGTGATTGGCCCAGACCTCAAACTGTTACTGAGGTCAGATCATTTTTGGGGATGACAGGGTACTATCGTCCGTTTGTAAAGAACTATAGTACTATAGCTTCCCCATTAACAAATTTAACTCGACTGGATACCCCTTGGGAGTGGACTGAAGAGTGTGAGGCAGCCTTCAGGAAATTGAAGTATGCCCTAACACACTACGAGGTTCTTAAACTTACGGATCCTGATAAGCCATTTGTAGTGACCACAAATGCCAGCCAATATGGCATAGATGCGGTCCTTGCGCAAAAGGAGGGGCCCAAGTTGAGACCTATCGAGTACATGAGTAAAAAGATGCCATCTCAGAAAGTTGCCAGGTCTACCCTTGAGCATGAGCTCTGTGCCCTGTACCGAGCGCTGGTCCACTGGAGACACTATCTCCTTGGCAGATTTTTCTATGTACACTATCTCCTTGGCAGATTTTTCTATGTAAGATTTGACTATGAGACCTTGGGCTGGATCAAAACACAGTCGGTACTCTCAGACGCACTCAAGAGATGGATACAAGTGATAGACATGTATGACTATCAACTTGATCCTATTAAGGGAGAATACAACAAAGTGGCTGATGCGCTATCGCGTAGGGCAGATTATCTGGGGGCCTTAGTAACAGAGTTTGGCATATCTGATGACCTAACTCGATCATTGGTGGAGGCCTATCAACAAGATCCAATCATGTCTGAGATCATCCGTAAATTCCAAACGAAGGACAAAGTGACCTTGGATGAATTTACGATGGTAGACGACTTATTGTTTCTTGAGAAGGCAGGGAATAAAAGACTATGTGTTCCCAATAATGAGTCTTTGCGGTTTATTTCTAGGTGACTGTCACGATGCAACTGGACATTTTTTGGTTATAAAAAGACTTCAGCTAATTTAGTGCAAAGATTTTGGTGGCCCACTATGATGCAAGATGCAAAAGAGTATGTTGAAACATGTAAGGTTTGCCAAAGAGACAAACCTAGGACTCAGGCTCCGCTCGGGCTCATCAAGCCCTTGCCGATTCTTGAAGGTCCTGGTCAGAGTGTGTCCATGGATTTTATGGATACTCTTGTGACCAACAGGTCTGGGAAAAGGCACATCTTCGTGATAGTGGACCGCTTCTCTAAGTATGCAAGACTTATCGCTATGCCAAAAACTGCTAAAACTGACTATGTCATCAAACTATTTCTGGATAACTGGGTCAGAGATTTTGGAGTACCTACGTCAATCGTAAGTGATAGGGATGTAAGGTTTACCAGCAAACTGCGGCAGACGACAGCTGAACAGATGGGAACCAAGCTGCAAATGACATAAAGGAATCACCCTGAGTCAAATGGCCAGGCAGAATAGATGAACCGGGTAGTACAGCACCTGCTTCGGCATTATATTAAGCCAAGTCAGGATGACAGGGACGAGAAGTTACCTCTCGTTGCCAGCCTGTACAACAATATGTGCACAGTACTACTAGTATGACTCCCAACCAGCTGCACCTTGGTTGGAAGCCCAGAACTGCACTTGACTTTCTGCTCCAGAAAGGCAACCCACCGCAGCACGTAGCAGCATAGAGTTTGCTGTCAATTACGAACGGATGCCGCAGCAGGCCGTCAAACATATCAGAAAGTCTCTGGATTCTATGATAGCATCTGAGAATAAACATAGACGGCCCTCTAACTTTTAGGTAGGTGATAGAGTCTGGGTAAAGTCATCTGAACTAGGTCAGGAGTTTGGGATTTCACGTAAACTGATGCCACAGTACTTTGGGCCCTGGGAGATCTTAGACATTGTAGGGGATCAACCGGATGGGCCTTCATACGTGATTCACATTCCTGTACACTTGCGTTCACATTCCTGTACACTTGCGTACTTACCCTGTTTTCCATGCATCCAAGTTGGCACCTTTCGCTGCCACTGATCAATTTCCCTCTAGAAGATCAATGCTGCCCCCAACCATGGATGGACACGTGGACATTGACGATATCATCGAACACAAGCTGATGCCTGTGCCCAAACCTCCAGGAAGGGGACGACCGCCAAAGCCACAGATGCAATACCGAGTGCAGTTCAGACATCACATTGATTCTCAAGAAGACTGGTGGTTCACAAGAGAGGAATTAGTGAAGATTGCTCCCCAAATTCTCTCAAGTTATGAGAGAAAGCTGAAAGGGAAGCAGCCTGTTACATAAGGACTTTGCAGAGGACTATCGAAGAAAAGGAGGAGGGAATGTGAGGATTTGGGTCCTCGGCAGGCCTAAGGGGCCCCTGCTGCAAATGTGCCTGCCCTAAGTGAAGGCTGGCCTAACAAATACCGAGAGGCCCTAAGCTGTCGAATTCGCATTTGGGGTCCAGGCAGTTTCGTCGCGCCAGCTGGTTGAGGAAAACACAGGCCGAGAAGCAAGCAAATTCCACGGCCTTCCAGCCTCTTCCGAAAGCACAGGCCTGGACGAGATTCGCAGCCTCATAAACAGACAGTTAGGAGGCCCAGTAGATGCACCAGAGGTGCAGCATCCTGGGGCATACCAGAAGCTTCTGGGCCCAGGCCAAGGCCAGCCAGGCTGCGAAGGCAGGCCAGCTCTTTCCATATAGGAAAGAGCTCGCGGCCTGGCGAGGCATTCGGGCACTCACATGCTGGCGGCAGCGCTGCTGGAGCTGGGCTGCTGCTAGTGCTGAGAGGCGAGGTGCTAGCACGTGCGGTTGTGCAGGGAGCAGGGCGCTGCTGAGGGCAGCGCCATAGCCCAGCCTCCATAGCTGGCGGGTTTGGATGTACAGTGAGGCGCAGGGGTGGTCTTCGGGTGTTCAACAAGGGAAGACATCGGAGAAAGTCAGGGGAGAGAGAGAAGGATGATGATGATGATGATGTGAGGGCAAATACCTGGTATTGGCGATGGTTTTGCATGGGCGACATCTTGAAGTACTTCGGAGGCTACTGGCGTCAACAGTTGCATTGTCAATAAGTAGGCTAGTAGTAGCTGTGTAGGGAGTTGGTTGGGCGCCGAGCGCCAAGTAGTGAGATAGGGACTGGATATCTATGTTAGTGGTGGCGAGAGAAAGCTCTCATTGACATTGGCTTTCAATGCTACTATTCTCCATTGGTTTCGCATTGGTGCAATGCTACTTTGTGAACACTATGAAACGATCTGGCTTTCAATGTGATTGTGCGATCTGAATATTGTCATCTCGCTTCTGTTCATTTTCCTTGCATGTGTCCCTATTCCTCGGCTACCAGATGTTCATCGTCTGCTCCAGTTGGCTGAGTGTCCTGAACTTCCAACCCATCGCGCTCCTCTTCTCTGAGATCTTCCGCTTCTGAAATCGGAGCGGATCTGGAAAGCTTTTTTTTTTTTTTTTTTTTTTTTTTTTGAACAAATCGGACCCGGTGCCCAAGGCTGATATTACCAAATTGAATAAGAAGATTGAGGCCGGGGTCCTCACAGTCTACCCGGAGAAACCGAACCG